CATGAAAATGCATTTCGAGGCCCTGATGTTCCTGATATGTGAATTGCCGGCGAGCTTACCTGCCTAAAGCTAATTAGTATGTGAGCAGAGCGTCGGTACGAGTTGAAAATATGAATGCAAATTATAGTCTTATTATTTCACTCTATTTTTGAATTGCTCTCTTAGAATTAGAGTGAGCAAAGCTTTATTAGCATGACTGTACATTTTAAAGAACAGAACATTCATACCTCTTACTAGTTCAGAGACTAAATTAAATGAGGTGAAATAAATCACAATTAATGGAATGAAATATTTGTAAAACAATGGATATAGTGCAAATAGATTGGATTCAAATCTAAACAATTAGCAAATGTCCATGTTTAGCACTGGTGCTAGTGTTACATGTCCTCAGGCTATAGAATACCATTACTTGCTATGGAGACAGTTCATTTAAAAAAAAGTTTAGAATCTGAAATATATATATATATATATATACATACATACACATTCAACATATGCTCTCTCTTCTCTGAAATAAAATAGAAACATTAAATTAAATTGATTAAAACCCTGGCGATGTGTCCTTCACCTCTTGATGACACTATTCCTCTCAAATGCGCTCATGAATCACAGAGGTGTGAGGTCGAGCTACTGATACGCTGCATTTCAATAGAGTAATTTGGGGGTTAATGAAAGTCCCTTATCTTACACTACCATTACTGCTTGAACTGGCTCTGTAAGTACCAATCAGGGCCAGCCCAGGCTCTGTTGGTGCCCTAGGCGAGATTTTAGATCCCCCTCCATTAAAAAAAACATACTGATAAGTATAAACATAAATAAGTAGTAAATAAATTGTGATAATAAATAAACAAATGTGAAGATTAACACAAAAATTAAATTAGAAATGAAATCAACAAAAAAGTGCAAAAAAAAAAACGATTATATTTGTAAGTAGTTTCTAATTGAATCTGTTAAAATATCGAAGAGACTAGACATGAGCTATACTCCCAAACAGAGAAATGCAACCCACAACTATGCCTACAGTGACAAGTACTTATTACAACAAAGAGAAATATGAGAAATAATGCCTAAAAGAGTCTAACAGACAACAAAGGCAACAAAATAAAGGCTACATATTGTAATTTATTTGTATGTGTTAGCCAGCAAGCTAGCATACCCATTTCATTTCCATTTTGTGCATTCAGTGGAAATTGGCATACTTAAATTTAAATTATTTTAATTCATGAATGCTAGATTATAGTCCTAGTCATGGTCTCTTTCAAAAGACATTTAGTGCACTTTTGGTGAATTAAAATCAAGCAGTAATGGAACTGAAATTAAAACAACATTACAGAAGTTTACATTTATTTTAAAGAAAATAAAGTAAAATTAAATAAGCAGTTAACTCAAGCAAAAACGTTGCACAGTGTCAGTGTTGCCAGTTAAGATGTTCTAAAAAGGCTATTTCAAAATACTGCATAAACATCAAGGGCAAATACACAGTGATTAACTTGTGATTCTTACCTCTATTTTGCTCTTTTTTCTGCTCCTCTTTTTTTTGCATTGCTTCCTGCCTTTTGCCCCTGATCATTTTCTTATTTCACTCTTTTTTTATTTATAATTTTTTTTAGAAATGATCCTTTCAGAGCACATAAATGGCAAAACTATGCTTGCTCCAATCATGTGTTATGATTATGTATTATAATTACGTCATGACGCAGAAAGTGTTTAAATTAGTCCAACATGACATGTTGTCAAATCTTATGATGTTACGTTGATGTCAATTTTACTTTATTCTAACATTATTTTAATCAGTTCGATGATCGATCAGTACTAACATTTTAATTGTCAGTATTTGCTTAATATATGGGTGTAGGAGCGCACGATGGTCTCGGAAGAAGTTTTCCGAGAAAACTTTCGTGCGGCGCCCCCCCCAGTCATTTTGCGCCCTAGGCAACTGCCTATGTCGCCTATGCCACGGGCCGGCCCCTGGTACCAATCCAACAGCATGAAAATATTTGGCTGGTTTACATCTGCTCATCTGCCTATATACAGTATTTGCATGTAGTATGTATGCATGTTTTCTATTAAAGTGATTAAAAATGTGTGGGCTGGAAAGCTGCTTTGTTAATTAACATATTGTGAAAAGCTTTAATAAATTTAAACTGTAGTGAAAATGTAGCAATTGGTAGGGTGTAAATGGTTTTAAAATGTGTTTTCAGTTTAGATGTCTGTGGCCTGATTATAACAATCACAGAAATTGCTGTCCCCACACTGAATGTACACTTCAAAAGGGTCTAGAAAAAAATACAAAATCATTGGTTTTTCTTTTGCATGGTGGAAAAAGTGCAAAAGTACAAGAAAGTTAGAAACGAGACCAATGGGCGAACAATACTCTCTACTGCAGATTATAACAATGAAAGAGCTCATGCAACAATCAATCCCTAATGAAAAGGCAGACTAGACACAACAACACTAAAACTGCCACAAATAATGAATGAACGCATAAACACGATGTATTCATTAATTATTTGAATTATTTGGAGGAAAATAATACCCCCTGACAAAATACAGTTCTAAATGATTTTGCCGCTCACAGCTGCTGCCTTCCATCTGCAACTTCCAATGCCATGCAGCCCATGTTTGATGTTTTTAGGGCAGCCGGCTGCTCTTCTCTCTTGCGTAATGACACTGTGTGACTTCTCGTTCTGGTTTTAGTGGGGAGGGATTTCATGTTGAGATAAGCATCTTCCATCACCCTTGACAAGGCTTTTTAACAGGACCACACAATTATTTGCAGATTCAATGAGTCAGATTGTTAATCTTGAGAAGATAAAATCAGAACAATTAATTCGTTTAATTACAGTGACACTACCACAGCTGGAGGAGAAAAAAAAATGATATCATCTCATTGTATTTATGATATAGCCTTTTATACTCCAAACCCTGCTGAGCAGCTTTTGTACAGTTTTAACTTTCCTGAAAAAATGTTGCAGTTCTGAAATTGAAAATTTCTTTTGAGAGCTGTGGCAAAGCAGTTTATTGTTTTCATTCAAGATTTAACATTCAACATTTCAAAGATTTAGTTTGAAAGAACTTAATATGTATTCAGAAAGAACACATTAAATTAATCAAAAGTGAAAGCAAAAAAATGCTATTTCTATTCTATTCTAATAGATACTGTTCTTTTGAACTTTCGATTTATGAAAAAATCTTGAAAAAAATATAATAAATCATAAATAAGTAGATAAATAAACAAATAAGCAAAGCAACACAATGTTTTCAACATTGATCATAATAAAACTGTATCTTGTGCACCAAATCAGTGTATTAGAATGATTTCTGAACGATCATATGACACTTAAGACTGGAGTAATGAATGCTGAAAATTCAGCTTTTCTATCACAAAAATAAATTACATTTTGAAATATAATCAAATATAAAGGAGTTATTTCAAATTGTAAATATATTTTACAATATTACTATTTCATTGCTATTTTTGATCAGCCTTGGTGATCATTAGAGACTTCTTTCAAAAACATTTCAAATGAACGCCAGTGTAAATCAGTGTCATTAGCAATTCTATTTTTCTTTCTTCAGGTTTTAACATGTTAAAAAACAATTAAAAAATGTGCTTGCGTCATGCCAGCTATCTTATTGAGCCTAATTTGGTCTCTAATTTGACCCATGCGGACAGATGCACCATCATTATACTGAGATGAGATACAGAATGCTATTAATATACATTTTGGAGTTCAGTCGACAAAACATGGATTGAGCAACACTATAACTCTATAATTAGTTTCTATAATTGATTTCTATTATAAGTTCCTGTTTCCACTGGTTCTTGTGCAAACAGAATGAAGTTTATAGTCTGCCTACAGTGAAAAATTATAGAGATAGCATGTATGAGGTCACAGTCTCCATTGTGCAATAATTAAAAAATAAAAAAAAGTAATTTATAAAGTTGTAGTTAATGACCACCAGTTACTCTTTAGCAACTTACAATTACTACTAAAAATAAATAATGTGTTAAAAAAAACATGAATTTAATTATGACCTGTGATCCAGGTGCTACTTTAGACAACACACTTCAGCAAAGAATGAGTAATGAGCTGTTAACACGGAATGTGTTCTTGCATTCAAAAATAACTAGACGGTATGCAACTGAATGGAACAGAATGAATGCAGGGGTCATTGGATGTGTTTTCAATCACTGAAGTGTTTTTAACTTGACATACTGAAGATAAAATGTGCTCACTGTGTGAGATGCTGAAAAAAACATGGAGAAACGACAAAATTGCCAAAGATGTCCACCTGAGGCATTTACATAAACCAACAATGAAAAAAACTGAATTAATAAATAGTTTTTATTTTTTTGGATCAACTGAATATACTTTTATTGTCCTATTGAGGAAAAAAAGTTAGAGCTACACATATATAACTGCAATATAAAATAAATCACATAAAAATGTATAAATTACTAAACAAATGTTGTAAAAATAAATCTCAAATATGTTTAAATAATCTTAATTAGATTTTTTGTAAGCAGATATTGATCTGTATGCTTCAGTTTGCAATCAATTTAATCAATTAATCAGAATATTATGTAAAATGTTTCATTGACTGACAGTCCTAAACATGTAATGCAATTTCCCAGGGTATCTAGCGGGTAAGTACAAACTCCTTGCCTCTGAGTTTCTTTCAGTCGGCCTCTGCAGTACAAATCAATAGAGGTGCTCTATAAAAGGTATTATTAACCATAATGGGGAAATGGATTTGGAAGTGATCCATTATCTTGTTTTTGTTTTGTATGAGAATGTTCTAGATGCCGTACATCCAACTTAGCAAAGAAACATGGTGCTGTATTAAACCATACTCAGGCTTAATGATCTGTTCTGAAGTGGAAAAAAAAGAAAAAGAAAAAGTAACCGCTTCATAAATCATGCAAATTAAAAGGGTCACTAAATGCTCCCACAATAGTTTACAAACACAATGCAAAACAGTAGACCATTTTATACACACAATTACACATCCACTGATTTTTATATAGCATATATAGCATACAAATCAGCACAGCTCTTTGGATGGCAAGTCAACTAACTGGCCAATCAGCAGCCTTTCCATCGGCCAATCACAGCAAATTTGGGAACCTCAGGACTGAACACAAGGTTTGTCAAGCCTGAATCCCATTTTACATCTAAGGCTGGTGAGAGATATGAAAGACTCCCAGTGGGCTCCCAGCGTGCTAACGATACCGTATCATGCACCAGCAGGGCTGCCTGATTTTAATAACAGTTATAAACAAGGTGATTAGTACAACCATAGCAGCTGTGGATGCTGCCACTGAGAGACGGAAGAAATAATCCCCCAGAGGCTCCACACACACACACACACACACACACACACACACACGCTCACAAGAGCTGAATAAGAAATGTGACGGCACCAAACTCTCTATTAATGTTTTCCAAAGCTGAACCTTTGGGCAAACGGTGTGAGGCATTTCACTGATAAACTAACAGGTCCGCCAGGAATATAAAGTCAGAATTCAGAGGGACAGAATGCAATAAGCTTCTCCAGTCTTGGGTTTTCAGCCAAGCTGAGAGGGCAGAATTCAATGATCAGGCAGATAACATTTACAGAGGCAGAAGGAAACTATTTGCACATCAAGTATACATATAAAAAAGACCTGTGTGTTTATAACAACACGTGCATGAGATTTCTCTGACGTGGGAGTAGCCTGCATTGACAAAACACCTAAAACACATAAAATGAGAAGAAAAGGTTCTGGCGTCTACACAAAGGGAAAAAAAGAAAGGATTTTAATATGAGGCGACCTTTCGCGGAATTTATGGAGAATGTCAGGAACTGTGAGCTCCCTACTGGGAAGTTAAGGGCCAATGTGTCTCTAAGAGACAGTCGGCATGCTGGGATTTCAGATTTAATTTGAAGAAATATGAAGTATTTAACTGACTCACAATGTTTCTACTTTCAATTTTAGACTTCCTCGAAAATTCAGAGTCGAATGGGGTTTGCGTTGACTAGTTCTGTCACATTGGGTGAACTATTAATTTCCCCTTCAAATGACTAAATAGTCAATTTTATATAGTGACAACAGAACTGCTATTATGCAATGGTAAAAATAAAAAATAAAACTACAGAGATTGGTGTTCAAAAAGTACATTTTAAGCAAAGCACACTGCCACTGCGGACACCTGAGATGGTCTAAGTTCATTAAGCATATTCACAAGCCAAAATTCTAATGAATAACCACCTAAACAAATGACATTTAAAGCTTGAATACGCTATACGACTTTAGCCAGATTGCAGATTTTAATTGACATTTTCCAGAAATTAGTGCAGTGATGGGCAAATACTTTTTTTTTAGCTCCTGACTCTGAATCCATCTAGTCGGAGGATATCAAACATGTTCAACACCCCTTGTCTATATCACTGAACCCCTCTGTGAATTTATCTAATTTCATCCTCTATTATGTTCCTTACTGCTGCTTTTTGGCAGTGACACAGGACTGCAGCCATGTAATAATGAAGATACACACATTTTTGTGTTCTCGATCCCACATAAACTAGTAGACACTTTCTCACCCCACATACCCTGTTAACCCAGCGTTGAACTTTGCTGAAACGGTACAGTGCATTGTGATCCATTTACATAAGGTAAACACTGACCGACAGACTTATTGTATGCTTTTCTGAATGACTAGTCAACTAGTAAAATGAGCAGTTGTGCAGGCCCTAATCTGATGCTAATGATGGCAATCCAGTGACGTGATATCTTAACCCAGCGCTATGTTTAGTGATGTGACAGCTTTAATAAGGCTCTATGACACACCATGTTGACAACAGCGTGATGAGTCAGGGTTTACAAGCCTGCATATGGACAAGCATCTGCAGATGTGTGGAGTTCTTGCACTGTGATACAGAGCTGGACTAGTTAGCTTACCGAACAGCGTTGTCCATGCGGGATACGGTGAGGTAGGCTGCCAGGTTGGCTGTGTAGGACGAACAGACAATGAGGGTAAACAGCCACCAGCTTCCCATTGCAATCCTGAGAGCCACTGAACTCATGAAGGATTCACCACCTGCAAACACAAGGAAGAAGAGAAAACATTCTACGGATTGCTTGTCATTGTTTACACCAATTCAAAGATACATTGATACAAAAAAAACAACACAAAGAATGGAGAAAAATGCAGGATTTTTAGACAGCAGGGTCTAACTGGTTCATGCTAACCAGCTAAACCTTGACCCCTTGTCTACATCTGTGATTTTATCTCATTTCAGCCTTCCATTATTTTTCTTCCCACTGCTTTTTGGCAGTGACACAGCACTGCAGCCATGTAATAAGATTCATTCTCCCATCACCCATTTTCTCAGAAAAGCTCAACACCTTATAAGCCTGTGCTGAAATGTCAACACAATATTCCTCTCCAGCGCACACAGCCTTGGAAATGTCATCACTGACACAGAGACGGTGAGAATAAAACAGTAAGGGAAAAGATCTGGCGCTATCAAGCTCGGTGGAGCTCGTTAGGGGCTATAAGTTTTCTTTTGGGACTGAGCCAAATTATCTGAGAACTGAAATGTCCCTTTAGGCCTAAAAGGATATCCAAAGAGTCTGTAATTGGAAAGGTCAAAGGTTAAGTGGGCAACCACGCTCATTATAGGGTTGAGAGTGAGCTAGTTTCAAATTTAACCTCCCAAGAAAAAAAAGTGCTTGTGCATTTTTTTCATATGCCCAGACATAAAATTTGAATCTTTTAATCATTTTTGTTCTAAACATGCACCTCCTCACCAATGTGAAAGTTTAGTTAGTGGATTTCACAATATAGTTACAATATAAGTTCTTTTAATTAAGGATTAGTTGCATTTACAACATAGTAGCATGTATTTTAGGGCAAAGTAAAATATGACAAATTTATATATGACTGGAAATGAAATAGCTACTATCGATCAAAAGTTTGGGGTCAGTAAGATTTTTTAAATGTTTTAGAAAGAAGTCTCTTACGTTCACCAAGGCTGCATTTATTTGATCAAACTATAGTAAAAACAGTAATATTTTGAATGATTATATATATAAAAAAATGTTATCTATTTTAAATTAATTTAAAATGTAATTTATTCCTGTGACGACAAAGCTGAATTTTCTGCAGCCATTACTCCAGTCTTCAGTGTCACATGATCTTTCAAAAATCATTCTAATATGCTGATTTGCAAGAAAATAAAATGTCTTATTAATGCTAATAATGTTTGTTTTGCTTAATATTTTGCTTAATATATGTTTTTAGTATCATCTGATGAATAGAAAGGTCAGAAGGACAGCATTTATTTAAAATATTAATCTTTTGTAACATTATAAATGTCTTTACGGTCCCTTTTGATTGATTTAATGCATCCTTGCTGAATAAAAGTATTTATTTCTTTCAAAAAATTGCACAGAAGTGTGTCTCTAGTCCAACTGGCCACTTGAGAGGACTGATGATGGACAATAAGCAAAATTTTGCTTGCTCGTAAAGGGAAAGTTCATACAAAAATTAAAATTCTTTGGTGAACTATCCCTTTAATTTTGGGTGAACTATCCCTTTGAGGCTCCTAACACTTGTTAAGCAGAGCTGTTTATTCATGATGTGTTATTTTTTAATGAGGGTTGCTACTAGGAGGCCTGACACAATTTGAACAGTATAGCACACCTGCTATCATATGATTGTCCTTCATAAGTGACAAGTAAATGTTTATTTAAAAAGGTGACCCAAACGCAAAACCTATTTTCATAATTACTCGCCGTGTGTTTCATTATCAATTTATGGGTCCAAGGCTTATAATTACAAATTGGCAAAGAGCTGTAGAAAAAAACCCCTGTAAATGTCATTCAGCAGCTGCTGTGAATTGCTTGCATCTTGGTCTAACTTGTTACATCTGAAAGCGCACAGAGACACTTAGAGTCAGCCTGGTATAGACAAGATTCCCAGAGTACGCAGAACGGAAAAGTGCAGGCATTTATTTAAAACCTCAACAAAACACACTCGCTCCTCTCTTCATAGGCACCTTTAGACACATGCAGCTGTTAATAGTGAGTTGCAGAACTCCTATGGAATAATTTATTTTGTCAAACAGTCAAAATGTAGGACTCTAGGATTGTCTCTAGTGCTGTAAGTTGTACTTGAGAAACATTTGTGTGTTTCATTATCAATTTATGGGTCCAAGGCTTATAATTACAAATTGGCAAAGAGCTGTAGAAAAAAACCCCTGTAAATGTCATTCAGCAGCTGCTGTGAATTGCTTGCATCTTGGTCTAACTTGTTACATCTGAAAGCGCACAGAGACACTTAGAGTCAGCCTGGTATAGACAAGATTCCCAGAGTACGCAGAACGGAAAAGTGCAGGCATTTATTTAAAACCTCAACAAAACACACTCGCTCCTCTCTTCATAGGCACCTTTAGACACATGCAGCTGTTAATAGTGAGTTGCAGAACTCCTATGGAATAATTTATTTTGTCAAACAGTAAAAATGTAGGACTCTAGGGATTGTCTCTAGTGCTGTAAGTTGTACTTGAGAAACATTAGAAGAATTATATATTCTGCTGAAAAGATATTTTCTTAAAATAAAAGTATTAAAAAGCTGTACCTTCTGTGCTCCTGCAGACGAGAATGTCAGCAACTGATTGCATCATTCAAGTGAGGTGACCACTCAGCAATACATCATCCCTCATGTTCACGTGACGTGACCCAACTCACCTTGCTGTACAAAGGCTCCGTAGACGATCCAGATGGCACTTTGGAAGGACGTCGTGACAGAAGCGGGCTGGTGGGGCCCTGGAGGATTCTGGGAGCAGACAGACTGGATGCGTCGGAGCAGAAAGACCATGACACCCACCACAGGAATGGCAGCAGCAATGCAGGCCCACACCGCCAGGTCAAACGGTGCCAGCAAGGAAAATATGTTGAGTCTCTCTTCTGTTTTAGTCATCAGGATTCCCACAGAATAATCCAGGTAACGTTTACTGAAGTCCACCACATTCTCTCGATCAGGAGTGATGGTGATGGCTGAAATTGCCACATCTGCCCTCTGAATAGTAATAAATGAACGTGCATTCTGAGATAATATAAGTGACAGTACACCTATACAAGTTACAAGACAGTACGTTTGAATAAACAAAGTGCAACGCCAACCATATGTGCCTAAAGCAGTTAACAATTAATTGACTAATATTAATACACAGTTTCACATAAAATAAACATATGGAATAGTCTTTATGAATGTGAATCTCACCTTCCCCATTAGTTCTCCAATCAGTCCATTCCAAGACCCATTGGCCTGAGGAGATCCATATTTCCCATCAGCCACTTGATACATGTCATACTTAAAGCCCAGAATTTTGGCCAGGGCATCTAGAACATCTATGGAAAATCCCTTATATCTTTTGGGCTGACCTAGAATGTTTTCTGCCACCATTACGAACGGCTCCTCCTGAAGACAACAGAGAAATTATGGGGTTCGTTTTATTCACTTGTTTATTTATTTTAATTATTTTATACTTTGGAAACCTGATTTGGAACTAAATTAAGCAGCGATGAAAGGATGAACATGCTTGTTCTGTCTACACAAACAATAACATTCAAAAGTTTGGGGTTGTTAAGATTTTTTATGTTTTTGAAGTCTTTTATGCTTACCAAGGCTGCATATTGGATCAATATGGTAATATTTTTAAATATTATTAGCATTTAAAACAAGTGTATTCTATTTTAATATATTTTAAAATGTAATTTATTTCTCTGATGGCCAAGATGAATGTTCAGCAGCCATTACTCTTAGTCTTCAGTGTTACATGATCCTTCTAAAATCATTCTAATATGCTGATTTGGTGCTCAAGAAACATTATTATTATCAGTGTTGAAAACTGGTGTGCAAAAAGTTCAAAAGAACATTTATTCGAAATGCAAATCTTTTGTAACATTGTATAAGATTCTATATGTCTTAAGTGTCACATTCGCTCAATTTAATGTACCCTTGCTTACTAAAAATATCAATTTATTTTTAAAACTTTTTACTAACCCCAAACTTTTGAATGATCATGCATGCATACCACACTTTTTGTTTGATCTTGTTCTCAATATATACAAGAGGATTCATTTGCAAATGTTTTCAAACAATGGCATTAGAATAGATTTCCCACAATTCACATGCATCTCCTGCAGCATCTTGACAGTAATGGACAGGCTTAAAAGCTGACATAGCTATTATTTGCCATTAGTGTCAGACAGATTTAGACTGCATCTTATCATTTACTCATTTGAAGGGGAAGCAAAGATAAAAGCAGAGAACATTTCTGTGGTGAATCCGTCTGTTCAGACTGTGACATGTGGTCAGATTGGTTTTCTGTCAGATTCAAACCATTGGCTGGCGTGAGACTTTTACCAGTGAAAGCCGGGACCCTTTGGTCTCAGGTTTATCTAAATGAAATGTTTCAGCTGACCTGATACACCATGGCCAGAGAAGCGTGCAATGCCTCATCAGACAGAAATTACCTTTTTTATTTTTATTTGCAATAAGGTATATCGCCACCAAACAAGATTGACTGTTCGTGAAGAAGGCCCTGTGCACTCAAATACAGACAGATGAAATATCTGAGACTCAAGCTTGTGCACTGTAATTGTATTTAGAGAGACCACAACAGAGATAGAGTGGAGAATAAATAAAGATCAAACCCCAAAGGAATCCCTAGAGAAAACTATCAAGAGTCTGCATGACAAAAATACTGATGTCTAATGAGAGACAAGATAAAAACCACACAGCGCAACCATGTGGTATTATTCAGTATAGTGTTTATGAGAAACTTGAACAACAAATGTCACTGTAATCCATGATATATTCCAGTAACAAGCTCTCAATTCGATTCTGATTTCAATTCAATTTGATTAGATTTTTTTAAATAGTTGGACATATTATAGAATTTTTAACAATGTGTAAAATTGTTATAAAATTATATTTGGGCATATAAGTAGGGCAAAAAACACTAGCATAGACTAAGAGGTTGATACCAGAATTTTTAGAATCATGGCCATTCAAATATATCTGAATAGTATGTAGATGGAGTGTAAGAACAGATGACAATGCAATCTTTCTCTGCATTTCACATCATTAAAGGGATGGTTCACCCAAAAATGAAAATTCTGTCATTAATTACTCACCCTCATGTTGTTCCAAACCCGTAAGACCTTCATTCATCTTCGGAACACAAATTAAGATATTTTTGATGAAATCTGAGAGCTGTCTGACCCTGCATAGACAGCAATACAACTGACACATTCAAGGCCCAGAAAGGTAGTGAGGACATTGTCAAAATGTCCATGTGACATCAGTGGTTCAACCTACGAGAATTGTTGAATAAAGTTGTTATTTTTGTTTTCTTTGCACACAAAAAGTTTTTCTTGTAGCTTTATATCATTACGGTTGAACCACTGATGTCACACGGACTAATTTGACAATGTCCTCACTACCTTTCTGGGCCTTGAATGTGTCAGTTGCATTGCTGTCTATGCAGGGTCAGAAAGCTCTCGGATTTCATCAAAAATATCTTAATTTGTGTTCCGAAGATGAACGAAGGTCTTACGGGTTTGGAATGACATGAGGGTGAGTGATTAATGACAGAATTTTCATTTTGGGTGAACTATCCCTTTAAACAAGTAGGACACATTCCTGGAAAATTATTAGTTATTTCTGGAATAAAGCTCCTATTTAATCTATACATATCTGTTGGAATAATATTCCTGGAATAACACTCCTATCTACCAGTCAGATTTGATATTAGCATTAAGATGACAGTTAGGCTTAGGAATGGGGTTAGTGGCTTAAACAACAATCTTGCATCAAAAATTAGTTTTAGGGGGATCAGAAATGATTGCTTGACAGGAATGTTATTCCATGAACATGCCCTACTTACTGTATGAAAATCATGTCATGCTTTTTATTCAACAGTGACTGTAAGAGTAATCTGACATCAGCAAGATGCTGATTATACCTAGGGGAGCTGAATCAGATTTATTGAAATACGCACCAGTAAGGTCACCACTTTCAGAGTAATTCCTTGCATGCCATGCTCAGCCCGGTTCTCCCTCAGACTGCCGTTCAGCCCACGATCAGAGTCCCACGTCGCCAGCTGGGAGACGGAGGAAGAGAGATTGTGATTGATCAAAAATGATTGCAAAGAAAAGGGTAAGGGGGAAAAAGATTAAGAAGGAGGAACAGGACAGTTGCTGAAAGCCAGAGATGATCTTACATGATGAATTTTTGTCCCCAAACACGTTTTTGTCTATGACAGACCCCTCAACATCAAGCAGAAATCAGTAGCCCTTTCAGAATTCATCTCAGAGGTTCACCTATTTGTGCTTTTGTTACACGCCCGGGTGAAAATGTTCATGTAAGTGTGTGAGGTGGTTGCCTAGGCAGCAGCTGTCACATTTTCCCCTTCTCTTTTAAAACTAAAATGAAACACACACTCAAGTGCGCGCACACACACACACACACACACACACACACACACACACACACACACCTGCTCTTTGTCGATATGCTTTCACAGGCTGTTGATTACAGTCAATATCAGCACAGAAAATACAATAAAACAGACAACAATCCAAAAGAACAACTCTATCAAAAGTTTCTTAATTTCTGAAGGCCTTGAAGCTGAACTGATGCCACTACAACAACAACAAAATCTTAATTTGAAACCTCTATGTAATCATTCCTGAAGGATATACAAATGATTAAAATAATCGTTGTAAAGTTTTAGGTAAGATTAAGTTTTAGCTTTTTGTATGGCGTAAATGCATCATGCATCATCTTTTTTTCAGTCACATTCTGTATGCAAATAGATCTCAGTTGTTGTTGATGATGATGTTGTCGGAGCCATCGGTTGTGGCCAGCACTTTGACATGTGGCACAGATGGACCTCAGGCAACCCCACACAGGAGTACCAGTTCCAGGTTCTGTTCCCCTCTCTCCTCTCCCATTGTTTCCTGTCTCCTTTCTACTGTCCTGTCCATGAAAAGTGAAAAGCTAATTTAAATATATATATATATATGATGTCATTGTAGTCGACTATACTTTAAAGAATTAACATTTTGGCAACAAAAAATAAATAAACATTCAAATACAATTAGTATATTAAGTGCTTTGGGCTAAAATAATTGCAGAGATTTCTGGAAGAAATAAAGTGCTGCCTTGAAAACGCTTCAATTAATAACCGAATATGAATACCACTTTATTACTGTATATGCACAAAGACGGACCATATACAGAATACAGATCTCACTTTCTTTGTATTATTCCATGAACAAAACCTCTCTCATCTTTGTGGGTATTATCCTATCTGTGAGTCACCACATTAGCAGCATATAAGCCAGTTGCTGAGCCAGTGTCGAAATGACAAAGGAAAACTGCTCAAATTCTCCCTCCACAAGTAATGACAGAGCTTCTGTAAAACACACTTCAAGATGAAAGCTGTGATGCATCTATCTTTAACTCCAGGCCCATTCATCATGATCCCAATATCCCACCAGATCCATTCATCCGCTGTGACGGATTCCGCAGGCCACCACATCTTGGAAAGAAGTAACTCTGACCCCGAAATCATGTACGGCTCTTGTATGGCCAGCGTTTGACCTCACAGTCTTCTGTGAGAGACAGGATAACAGAGGCTTTAGAATCTGGCCCAATGACACGAGTCATATATCTTCACTGTAGTGCCCGATACATAATCCCTGTCACAATAACCCCTACATCACCCATATTAGCAGATTCAGCTTTTACAAGCAAGATATATCGATTTAATATTATCAAAACACAAAGAATAGAGAAGAAAGAAAGAAAGAAAGAAAGAAAGAGAGACAAAGAGATAAGATAACAGGAATTTGGAAACATGTTTCTTTTCAGGATTTAATAAAACCATTTTCTCTTTCTTTAGTTCAGTAGTAGTGGGGATTTTTCAGTGTCTTTTACAGCAAGTTACAATAAGTGGCGACAAGTGACAAGTGTCGAATCATTAACTCAAGCGGTTTGTTAAAAAATGCTCATTCATTTATGAATGAAACAAAGGAATGTCTTTATGTCACTGAATCACTCACTTGAGCAATTAATTAAAAACACTGAAACATTCAAGAATGAAACAAGGAACTGACTTTATAAAGAGTCACTGAATCATTGACTCAAGTGATTTGTTCAGAAAAACTGAGCCATTCAGGTAGAAAACAAGTTACTGATATTATGAGTGAGTCAATTAAATCTTTCACTAGAGCAATTCTTTAAAAAATTACAATACACGAGTTTCACAATTTGAGTTGAATTACTGAAATAAATGAACTTTTCCACGACATTCTAATTTATTGAGATGCACCTGTATGTTATATCAACTCAAGAATAATCATAACAACAGTTATAATACATCATAATACTTACGTATTTGTAGTTATAAGTTTAGATAATGTATGATTATTTATAACGCACAATGAACACCATATTAAATCTACTTCATTTACAGAATAATGGACTGTATCATATCTTGACATTGTTTATTTAAAGGGGTCATATGATGCTTTTTTAAAGATCATTATTTTGTGTATTTGGTGTAACAGAATATGTTGATGTTTTATATGGTTACATTTTATTTTGATGGTCCCCTTAATCAATCGACTATAAGCAACTTTGCAACTACATGCCAACTAACTCTCATTAGAGTATTAGTATGCTCAAGAATGGTAGAATCTAGGATGGTAGAATAAAGCCCAGTTCACACCAAGAACGATAACTATAAAGATAACGATATTAGCATCCACACCAGCAAACGATATAGTCTGTTTATTTTAAGCGCACGCGCGTCTGCCACTTTAAATTCTTGAGCTCGTTACAGCAGGATGGATTCTGATTGGCTGTCAGTGTTTTATCGTTCATCAGCTGGAAAAAAATCGTTTTGAAAGTGATCACAACGGTATCATTTTTAGAACTATATCGTTATCGTTATCTTTATAGTTATCGTGCTTTGTGTGAACGTGCCTTAAGTTGACGTACTTGCAAAGACACTTTTTAAAAAAAATTTTTATTGCAAGTGTAAACACTTAACATTCAACAATTAATGTAACATTGGATGAAATTATGAATACAGAAATTATATAGGAAGACAGAGAAGAGAGAAAAAAAATAAATAAAAAATAAACAAGAATACATAGATAAAACAAAAAATACAGAGGTAGTAAATCAAGAATTATGTACCATTCAGCAGATCATTACACAGTTTCACAAATTTTACTTGCAAAGACACTTATAGTCAGTTTATCTGTTGGTTGACCATCAAAATAAAGTGTTAGCAAATATTTACAGTAGCAGACATACTAATACTCTAATGACCGCTAGTTGATATGTAGTTGCAGAGTCACTTATCAACAGCTGTTTAAAGGGTACCATCAAAAGAATCAAACTGATATTACAATAAAAATAGTTCAAAGCAAATGTGTCATATTACACATTCATCTGATCTGGTATCTGATCTTATGGCTGTTTGAGAGAAAAACATGTTATTATTATTATTACTACTTATAAGTGGTCTTTGACCGCTTTAAGTAAAGTAGCATAAGAAAAATGGCAAGATATGAGACTTATAATACATTATAACTATGAGAAATATAATCCATTGTAAAAGTGGATGCAACGTGTTCATTGTGTTATAAATCATCATACTCTTAAAAGCTATAACCACAAATAAGTAAATATTATAATATATTAAAACTGTTCTTATGAATATTCATGAGATGATACAACATATTATAAGTTTTTTTATAATGCATTATGCATTCATTATAATGCCTTAAGAATACCCTTATAATGTATTATAAATACGGGCTTCATAGAAAGTGTTACCAAAATTACTAATTCATTCAGGAATGAAACAAGTGAATAGCTGCATCTGAAAAACACAAACTGAAGTGCACATCTGAAGGACTCTACAATCCAACCAGGCAATGGAAGAGCATTAGTGAATGGCAGTAAAGCATTGCAGCTGACACTGGTAGGTCACATGACAATAACAATATGATGGTTACAGTATGTCTGGGTTATATTCATACTACATACCAGTGCCGTTCCGTCCATATAAGCTGCGAATGCGCCGTATACCCAGGCCGTCTGAGATAAGAGTTCACGGGCTAATTAATATAAACATGATTATAAGTTGATCCCTTGTCATTTGCGATGTGACTTAAAGCTTAATAAAGTGTTAAGAATTATCATGTACAATTATTTATTTGAAAACAACGGTAATTTTCTGTAAATCTAAGTCAGTTGCAGTTGTTTCTGGGCGAGCGGATTCTCCGCCGCTTTCTGGCCTCCGCTCTGTTGCTATGACTCTTCAGGATTGGTGATCGTGATTTGACCAAGTTCAACATGTTCCTGGAACATCATTCCAATCAACCAATCAGAGTTGAGAGATAACTTTTTAGGAAATATCAGTTTTAGGCTTACAATCAGGATTAGGTGCTTCTACACCCTTGTTAATCAGCTATCATTTCCCTCTGATTTTAGGAATAAATTATGGGTAAGGTTAGGTTTATGCCGAGTTCACACTGCACGATTTTAGCCGATTTTTCACTCGCTGACAGGTTTCGCGAAATCGCCAACAAATGCCCGAAATCAGAGGCAACTCGGTGCTCGTTCACGCGAGTGACAATCCCGCAGTGTGAATTATCAAAGACGCGATCTGAGGGAATCGCCGACATGTCGCCAACGTGGGTTTTATTATAAGCAACCACTAATATAAACTCAGGTGAAGTTTATTTAGATAATGTTATCATAATACATTTAAATTATATTAATACACATTTCATTAAAAGTCATATACGTCATATGTGATGCACGCAACCACAACATGTCTAGAAAACACACCCACCTCTGTAATAAACACAGAGATGTTAGTCCAGTCTGAACTGGTACATGAAATCGCAGACATCAGGTGATAAGAACTGAAAGTCAAACGTAGTTTAGAAAACTAGTCCCATCCGATTCGTACAGCTGGTCTCACTGGTCTCTGCCAATTTGGCTCCACGGCATGGGATTGCCAGGGATTTCAGTGTTTTTTACATCGAAGATATTTTGCCATACTGTGTTTAAATT